GCAGAAACGAGAAGAGAGCAAGGAGAGGAAAAGTGCCAAAAAAATATATATTAAAAAAAAAAAAAAAACAGAAACGAAAAAAATGAAAAACAAAAACGGAAAAAAATAGAAATGGAAAAGACAATGAGGGGTTTTTTTTATTGAAGTGATTTTTTTTTAATTTTTTTGGGTAATTATTATTTTGATAAAAATTGAAAATTCCCCAAATTTAAAGTATATGGTAATCTTATTATATGGAAGTTGTGGGGTGCCTAATACTTTCCCCACGCTTAACTGACCCTTTGATCCTAGTCAATTTCTACATAGACTTTGGTGTTTTATCCCACCTCATTTGGATAGATGGCAACTCCATCCCTTTTGGCACGTCAACAGTTTGGCAATACTTCACTGGGGACATTGAGGGGTCAAGCCATTTATACTTTAATTTTGGAGTTTTTCAATTTCTAACTTTTGTTTGACACTTGGCAAGGAGTACCTTGTAAGTTTTTTTTCTTTTTTGTACTTAGATATTTTATTTAATTTTTTGTTATTTTCATATGTTAATTTTATTTGTATGCTCTCTCACACACTTCACTTGCATATCATTTTGTCCTTGATGAGTTGAACCCGGCCTCTAGGTAGATGGATAACTCATGGAACAATGCAAAGCGCAATGCTTTCCTTGTGAAATGGGATTATCTCTTTCAGGTTTATTTTCTGGGTTAATACGGCCTGCCAGCCATAATGCTATTGCTATATTAGGTCATGAAATACCTCTTGTTAACTTTATAGAAGTTAGCAATTATTGATTTTATAGAAGTCAATAGTTGTTGACTTTATGGGAGTTAGCAATCGAAAAAAAAACTTGATCATATAGGATCCACTAGAAAGCCGCATGTAATGGACTTAGATAAAAATTAACCATAGAACGACCAACCTAGTAAACCACCCTCGAGGTTTAAGAACCTTATACATAGGACACACAGGGAGTATTTTATTTTTAAACAATGATTTTGTGTGTTCCAAGCTAGAATGTCAACTGTTATCCAAGAAGAACAAGTCAAGGTTGGATTCTCTGCATAGACCAAAAGACCTTGTATAAAGGACCTGGCTGCTTGGAACAGTTTAAACAATCCAGACAAGGTGAGGTTTAATAAGAAATTTGGAAGAATAGTTGATGTGTTGCAAGGAGAGTCAGACTAGGAAATCATTAGGGCAATCCTAAGATTTTATGTCCTACTTCTTGGTTGCTTTGTTTTTCTTGAGTTTAAATTTGTGCTCACCATTGAATTATATTTTCAGTTGTTATTTAGTCACCCAACAATGAGTTCAAAAGTTGATCAATGGAATATATTTTGAAATGGTTGAGGTTGAGCATATTATTCCACCAAATCAACACAATGCGATTTCCAACTTTGTGGAAAGGCTTTCAAAGATAATAAAAGGATATTGTGAACATAAGCTTTAAATAATATAGTATTGGAACAATAAAGAGAAATGAAAGTTTATGATTGTTAATTATTAGTTGTTATATTCAAAATTTTAAATAAAGGAATAAAGTTCGAAGTCAAATTCCACATTCTCTTGAATTCCATTTGTTGAGAAAAGCAAGTTCCTCAATATAAAAGAAGAAAATATGTGAAGGAGGCAACTTCCTAATTATTTTTCTTTTTCTTTTCAAAAAAAAAAAAAATAATATTAACAAATGAAAAGGACATGAAGAAGGCAATCTCCTCATGCTTTTGGCTTGCATAACAATTATTTGGCTCTCATATTACCTTTCCTTACAAGCAATTGGCTGAAGTTACCCTTCACAATAAGGAATCCATTTGTAAAATAAATTTAAATAGATAGTATGGTTGTTTGATGACATGATTTTATCTATTGGGGAAGTTTGGGAATCTATCTTTCAATATGCCAAGACCATGATTTGTTAATAATGCTCATATACTACAAGTGTTGAAGGATTGGTCCTAAAAGGAATTATCCAAGAGTTCATTCACCTATTCTCACTAACACTACTAGAAATTTTAGATGTTCAAACCAAAACAATTCAGATCGATAAAATATGGTTTGAAAAAAGATTTATTCATATCACAATTGGTCTAAATATTTATTGGTAAACGGTTTGAATATCATTGGTGGGAGTACAGTGAAATGTGCGAAAAATATTCAAACCGACTATGGTCTGAATATTTTCACAAAAAAAAAGGCGAATTTGAGTTGACAATTTTTTTTTTTCACATTTTTGGACCACCAATGGCCTAAAAAATGGTCAAATAATTTCCCACCATGCCTTCCACACAGGAGGCATTTTATACTAGGTATATACGGACCAACTTTGGTATGGATTATCTGTAGAAAATTGCAGTCCCTAGCCCATATTTCTAAACTAGTTTTGGTCTGAATTATCGGCATTTTCTAGACCATTAATGGTGTAATATCCAATGTTTTCAAAACCGAGCCGGAGGTCAAACCGTTTTGACCTTTGGTTCTCGGTTTGATTGATTTAACCGATTTAACCGTTCAAACCACCGGTTTGACCGCATATGAATAAATATAATATGGTGTGATAATTTAACAAGGCAAGTGCAGTGGCTGGATTGGTTTGTTACGCACAAGGTTTTTAAAACCGGACCGGACCGGCCGGTTGAACCGGTCGGACCGGTACCCAGTCATGAAAATGGTTCGGTTTACATAAGAAAACCGTTTTAGGTCAAAACCGGTCAAAACCGATCAAAAACCGGTAAAACC